GAGAAAGAAAATAGTCACAGAGATGGGGGGAGGGTTGCTAATTTCAGCTTGCTCTTCCCTCTGACAGACCTGTGGGACACCACCCATCCCGTGTCACAGAGAACAGAACACTGGTTCTACAGGCCTTCTAAGCTCACTATAGAGCTGTGGACTTTGTGTTTGGGGCAATAGTGATTGCCAAGCAAGGCACCAAAAGGTAAGATTTTTCTTGGCTTTCCAACCTCATAGCCCTCAGGTTGAAGACCTTCTAGAAAGTTTTGTGTCTTTGGCTAAAACCAAATTCCACTTTGGCTTGCCATTTGGTGTCAAATAATTATTACAGATTATGTGTACATTTACGCGTATTAGTTACTTTTCTTCCCCGTTGCTATAAAATACCTGACTGAACTTCTTCTAGAAGGAAGGACTCATTTTGCTTATGGTGGAGGATGTGGGCCATCCTGTCCTGGAGCGCTTAGTGACAGGAGTGGGGGGCAGGTGGTCACACTGCTTCTACAGCCAGGAAGCAGAGAGATGAAGGCAGCTCTTTGGCTGCTTCTTCCTTTTTTCCTTTCTGTTCAGCCCAGGATTCCATGCCATAGGGATGGTGCCACCCATCTTCAGGGTGGCCCTTCTTTCCTTAATTACCCTCTCTGGAAACTCCCTCACACATTGTCTTAGTCACTGTTCTATTACTGTGAACGCCATGGTCACAACAGCTATTTTAAGAGAAAGCGTTTAATTGTGGGCTTCCAGAGGCTTAGTCCATTATCATCACGGTGGGGGGCGAGGCAGCCTGCAGGCAGGCAGTGGAGCCGGTGCTGAGAGCTACATTCTGATCCACAGGCAGAGAGAAAGGCTGGGCCTGGCATGGGCTTTTGAAACCTCAAGTCCCACCCCCAGTGACACACTTCCTTGAACAAGTTCCTACCTGCTAATCCTTCTAATCCTTTTTTTTTAAATACATTTTAAAGATTTTATTTATTTATTTGTATACAACATTCTGCTTCCATGTATATCTGCACACCAGAAGAGGGCACCAGATCTTATAACGGATGGTTGTGAGCCACCATGTGGTTGCTGGGAATTGAACTCAGGACCTCTGGGAGAGCAGTCGGTGCTCTTAACTGCTGAGCCACCTCTACAGCCCCCTTCTAATCCTTTCAAATAGTGTCACTCCCTAGTGACTAAGCATTCAAATATATGAGCCCATTGGGGCCATTTCTGCACACACATGCCCAGAGTTGTGTCCCTAGCTGACTCCATATATAGTAAGTTAACAATGAAGAAGATTCTCTCTCTCTCTCTCTCTCTCTCTCTCTCTCTCTCTCTCTCTCTCTCTCTCTCTCTCTCTCTCTCTCTCTCTCTCTCTCTCTCTCTCTCTCTCTCTTTCTGTGGGGGGGGTGGTATGTGTCTGTGGTGTGTGTGTGTG